TTAGAGACTGCTGAGAAGATGTATTATTATTATTATTATTATTATTATTATTATTATTATTATTATTATTATTATTATTATTATTATTATTATTATTGTTATTAGTATTAAAAAATGAATTGAAGTATATACTAAAAGCATTAGATTTTTTTCAAAGAGGTGGCATGGACTTGACCTTAATAATGGAGTACAGAGGTCAATGTTGATGACTTCCGTGATGTTCTAATCCAAGACCAAAATCTTTTAGGATTGATATTCAGATCGTTTGAAAGAGCATCAACATACTGTCTGTACCGCTGATTACAAAGTTTTTTAAAATTTGTTCTGGACATTCTAAAATCTTCAACAGTAAGTCGAGTTTTAGTTCTTTTCTTTATTTTAAATAATTGTTCCTTAAGTTTTAAAGCTTTGTATAATTCATGATTAAACCAAGGTGGGAGTTTTCTTTTTGGTTTAAACACAGGAACAAGAACAACTATTAGCCTATCCTAAACAAATTCAAAATGCTTTTACATTTTCAGAATTCAAAATATTTAAACATTTTGTACCGGAAAAAATTGCACCGCTGGGAGGCTATCCTTTTACTACGTAGCGTAAAATGAGTAATTCTAGTTATTATTTATATTATCATTATTAAAACAGCATTTTTATATTGAATTTATTTCTGCCCTGTCATGAAAACCACGAAAATACCAAAACGTTACACACACACACCACACAACCCACCCACACACACAAATGTTAACACCCCAAATTACTACAAAAAAATGTCATTATTTTTAAGAAACTAGAAAATAAAATTAATATCCTTTGCAGTGATAAAAATGAGTAAAAAAATCCACCATTTTTCATTCACCGTTTTTGTATTGCCCATGTACATTTCAACTCTTTTCACAATCTTTAACTTTAGTAATTAAGATTGATTTTAAAAATCTTTTAGAGATATACATATAAATAATGGCCCAAGCCTATGTCGTAATTACGACATAAATATGTCGAAATTACGACATACGTATGTCGTAATTACGACTTATTATGTCGAAATTTCGACATACGTAAGTCGTAATTATGACTTATTATGTCGAAATTTCGACATAGTCGTAATTACGATATATTATGTCGAAATTTCGACATACGTATGTCGTAATTACGACTTATTATGTCGAAATTTCGACATAATATGTCGAAATTTAAACATAATATGTCGTAATTACGACATAAAAATATATATTTTAGTGGCCCTAAAAGGCTTTCGTAATATAAGGCCTAGGCTCATAATAAAAATATTTAGGTCACCCATAAATAGTACGTTTGACATTAGTAAATTGGGGAAATTTATAACAGAAAAAAATAATTTATATGAACCTACATCATTGCATTTATCGCCGAGAATCTCTGTACAACCAGATCGCTCCCATAGTGTCCCCATCAATGTGCTTGTTTGTTGAATCGATAAATGTCCTCCGTATTTATCTGATTCTAGATCTTGTATGAATTCCATTGCTTCCATTAGAGGATCACGGTTTCCTAGAATGGGCTTAAAACAGACGAAATAACTTAGGATCATCAATGAAAACGCCATGTACTGCATCATGATTTTTCTGGTTGAAATATAATCTAATAAAGCAAGTACCGATACTTGCCTTAGATTGTGCACACGACCCTCTTTCAAGTGTTTATTTATTGGCTAATTAAATGGAATATTCCATTTAGAAAATAGGAGCGTTTTGCTTATTCGTTTGTACTGTAGGTTGCACATTTAAATATATGTCCAACATGAACTATTATTAATACAACGTTCATGAGCATTATTTGTTTTATCCGGGTGAGGGGTGCACTCCCGTTATTGATTAAATTAAAAGTTAAAATGCCTATTAAATTACCATGTTTCGGTATCTAGTCCCCAATTCTTAAGATTTTAACACCTCGGCATCAGAAAATCTCAAGTTAAAATGTTCTCACCTTAGCCCCAACCGGCCGACCTCAGGTGGATATGCTAGTTTCTTGTAACTGCCTAACTTCAACCTGAACCATGGTGGCTGAGGTGGGTGATGGTAGTTTTGCATAAATTTTAAGTAACCAAAGTTCCGTTTTCGGGCATCAATTAAAGTCTCAATTTCTTAAAATTTACTTATATGCCCCCCATCCCATCCCAAACCATGGTGGTTTCAGGGGGATATGGTAGATTTTGTAATTGTAATATTCAAGTACGGTACTATTTTCGTGAACCTCGTACCTTCTTAAAATTTGTTCACCTAGCCCCAACTATTTTCCTAGATTTTATGTATTAAAAGTGCCATTTCCAATCATATAAAAGTCTCAAACACTAAAAATCGTCTCACCTGAGCTCCAGCCATGGTGGCTCCCAGGTGGATATGGTAGTTTTTTTTTTAAATAGTCTTACCTCAGCCTCATCCGACCATGGTGCCTGAGGTGGATGATCATTTTAAGTATCCAAGCCGTTTTGGGGCATCTATAAAGTCTCAAATTCTTAAAATTTACTCATCTGCGCCTCAAATATTTATTTATTTATTCCAGGGGCCAACCCAACAGTGAATCACCGCCAATATGTGGGGCTCAGGTCGATATGGTAGATTTTATAATTGTAATATTCAAGTAGTTTCGGGCATCACAAATCTCAAATTCTGAAAATTTTCTCACCTGAGCCTCAACCATGGTGGGGTTCAGGTGGATAAACATTTTTGGTAGTTTTCTTATCCCATTTGTACAGTCTCCTGCTTTCGTAAGCTAGAGAATACATTATATATTGTTAGCCTCAAAAGTGCTGTTGTTATTTACTTTATACTTTCTATACTGTACAGACTAACGCGGCTATACTTTTTATTCATTGGTAGTTTTTGTAATTGAAAGTATTCAAGTGCCATTTTCGGGGACGTATATAGATAGTCCTAAATAATTTGGGGTTTTATTTTTTTTTATCAATTTGTCAATAAAAAAATTTTAAAGATAATTTAATTTCAATTTCCAGGCAACCAGATGCAGGCCTACAAAACAAAACTCTTACTTAAATTTCATCAGCACCCCTTTCCTTAAATCCTGGATACGCCACTGTAATTAGTCTTTCAGAAGAACAGAATCGCTATATTTTTTCGGAGCCTTTGTTACCTACTGTAGGTTCATCGGAATTTTCGTCAATGGCGTGGGATGGATTCATTACGGCCCCGTTAGGGAGACATTACTTGTGTGATCAGGAAAGCTCGACGCATTTTCTCGGGACGTCTTACACTCTTTCTCTTATTACTCTTTACACGACAGAGATTTAATTGTGCTTTGTCGGCCACACAGTCATCATTAACATATGTGCATAATGCAGGAGACCCTCATTATCTGCCGCGACATCAAGTTTGCTTTATTCTTTTTGTCTAGGTCTACGCTCCCTGTACGCCAAACCATTTCTTGTCTCCGGGCCATTATGAGCTCACATCGATCGCTTCTCCTAGCCTCAAACTGATCCACCACTTAGGCTTATGTCATCATTATCATCATCTTCATCATTATCATCATTAAGCCAAAGCCTCTTAATCAGCACTATAATGGTCGACATCATCAACATCATCATTTTTCCATACACTTCCATACTCACGCAAACAAATATCTGAAATTAAAAGAAAATTGCACAGACCTTTGAGATTACAGGAAAGTGCATATCCAAACATCTAGAAAACAAAACTTCCAGGGGGTGATGTCGGACTCCCTTCAAAATCTAAAAATTTGCCTAGACTTTCGCCGAGCACCCCGACTACAAAACCTTTCTGGTCCCCTGGCCCCCAATCATGATGGGTCACTTAGATCGCATTTCCTTCCATCACCCTCAAACTGTTACCACATATGTCATAATAAGACCAAGCTTCATGATCATCATCACCATCAGATGCTATCCGAGCATCTGGGAACACTTACGTGACACTCACGCCCCAACCTCCCTTCACAAAAACTTGGATCCGGCACTGCATCCTCATCATCATCGACAATAGCACCATTTATCAGCATCATTCTTATCTAATCATGATGAAGACGACGACGTGATTATGACGAATGCAATTTTGCTGAATTTGTTTAAATGATATGCAGCCACAGAAAACGTCCCATATTAAAAAAAAATAAATATAAATATCATAACTTTCTAATCACGCTTAAGTTTATTCACATTTCATTCTATCCACCCTCAAACTGTGAGCAGCTAAGTTATAATAAGCCTAAGCATCATGATATAATCACACATGAGAAAATCTTAAATTTGAAGAAATTCAAAGTCTATAAACATACGCCTGAGAATCCGAGCATCTAGGACAAACAATTTTTTATAGCATACGGCATAACACGCACGCCCCACCCCCTGTCGGGTAAGTGTAAATATTTTTGACACTCCGGTAGTCCTTATAAAATAATACACCTCAGGTCTTCTTCATTGCAAGCAGGATGACATATCGTTGTATGTTGTCACCATAAAAAGAAAAGAAAAAAAAAACCTTAGGCCCCTATCTGTTATTAATATTATTCAGTTTATTTTTGAATGTAGGCCTACGTGAGAGGGCAAGTATTTTTGACGTGGGTTTAACATTTTCCTTCATATCTGTTGGCCTATTACATTTTATTTGTATTGTCGTGTCATGATCAGCTTAGATAATAAAAAAATAATACTATTATATGCAAACTCCTCAGTGGCAAGCATGATTTGGTGTCCCATTGTTGTCAATCTTTTTTGTTAAAGACTTGCAGATCTGATTTTTGATACAATCAAATGTGGACCATGAAACCATAACAGTTGATACCGTGTCAGAATATAGGAACTATAGTGAACGATAAACTTAAATGGAACATAAGCTCTAAAGTCAAAGATTATATTTCTTAAGAAAGCTATGACGTCTCAAATTTTACATAGATATAGACATAAGATATCGGTTTTATTTTATCAAAGTATTATTTTAAGTAATATTTCATATAGGCCTAGGCCTATTTCTTGGTACTATGGCAATGCTACAGTTAATGGCAAGAAGAAACACGAGAGTTCTGACAATAATTGCCCAACGCATCATTAATACTACAATACTGACCTTACACCAATACTAAAAATCTGTGGCCGTTTAAAATTACATAGGATAATGAAAGATCTCTGCACTCTTATAATTACAACAGATCATGGCATCAAGCTTTTGCCTCCATGATCATCACTTTGTAGATAGAAACATTTTTGCCACATAGTACGGTATCTATCTTTTTAATTTGCAACTCGGTTTTCTCAACAGTCTGAACATAGTTTGAACAGATTTTAAGAATAGTAAAGTCTCATTCAGGTTTTTTTTTCTGATTTCCCCTTTTCGTGTTTGATGCTTATATTTAAGAATTTTTTTTGACTGATATTAAACGTGTAGTGTTGTGTTTATGTAAATTTCTTTTCTAACTATTAAATCTTGTCGTTTAATTTAGTTTTCTTAAATCCCGGATCTTTTGATTAAATATTAGGTATAATATTCAGTTATCGTATTCCACGGGCTCTCAGTATAAAGTATTTAATAATTAAATAATTAATCAAATTAATTATCCATCAAACATCCACTAACGCTTTTAACCTTGCAAATAAGTAGTTGCAGGCTTTGTATCTACGAATTGCCAAACTCATACTCAGTTTGGCAAGGGGATTTCCTCCGTCGTTCACGACTCATCCAACTCCAAACAA